TAATTAATTCGCGAGAAATGTTAAGATAGGGGAGAAGTTGAATGAAGGAGATGAACATTGAAGACGTTGTAATTATGTGGAAGATGGGTCTTTTTGATAATAACATAAAAACCTTAATAATACTGTTATTTTAATATCTGTGGAAATAATAATTATAGAGATAATGTATTTATATTATCATGTTTTATTATACTGTTTTATTCAATACAAATGTACTCAAATTGTTATTAATATAAATATAATCCAAATCTACATTTAGAAAATACAAATAATGATTCGTCTTTTACTGCATGTAACATATCTGACACACCCGGTGCGTCATATGTTGCATACAGTATATGACATACATGGTGCGTCATTAGTTTCGTAAAATGACTATCGTAGAATATATATTATTTACCAAAATTGACACAATTCTACTGTAAGATGCTTATGATGTGTCATCTGTATAGTGTAGGACGCACACGGTGCGTCATATGTTGCATTGGACTGATATGTGACACACTCGGTGCGTCATTAGTTGCATACAATAGTTTCGTAGAATGTATATTATAAAATTTTCGTATGATTGATGATATGAGACGCATACGGTGCGTCACCTGTTGCATACAATGCACAGTTTACGACGCATATGGTGCGTCATGTATTGCATAGAATGTCAGTGTACGACACATCTGGTGCGTCATTACTTATGTTTAACAATTATCGTAAAATATCAAAATTTACATATGGTTAATGATGTGAGACGCACACGGTGTGTCATCGATTACATAGAATGTTAGTATGTGACACATACGGTGCGTCATTACGTGCAACAATTTCTAAAATGTTTCAATACTCACTATTAATAAAATGTTTCAATACAAAATGAATAAATTGGAATTAATTTATAATATCAAATTAATTAATTAAATTAGAAACTGCACTTCGAAAAATAGCTTTCAGCTTCGACTTTATAGCAAACTTTTTCCGAAATATGTCACAATATGAACCTTGAAATGAAGTTAAATAAAAATCCGACTGTTAATGGAGTAATATCGTTTTGCATTCACGAATCGATGTCCCGATATCACGTTTAGCAAATAGTTACTGGATAAAGAGTCCATTAAGATCCTCAAGGTTACCGATGATCCTGATTCTTGATTTCACAGTCGATTTACAGCGGAACGCACTTTTGTGGCTGCTTTGGTATACGTGGTTTCGTTCACGAAATCATTTGTTGTATAAGTGCATGAGGTGACGGTAGAAAATAAGAAAGTATTCGGATGAAAGACATAACTTAAAATGACTGGCGAACTTGTTTAACGAATAGTGTAAACTTTGCTAAGTCTCTTATTTTAAGTTAAATAATTTCCTTATTAATTATTAATATTCCTTTGTTTCACTGGCGATGATGTAACGAATGTGTTAACCCTTGACGGTTACGCTGGGTATGAAACGACCCCAGTCAATTTACCTTCAATTTTAGCCACTTTATATCCTGAAAATCTGGATAAATTCCTTTTTTGAAACTCTGGTATTTTTACTATATTTTTCCTCACTGTTGTATCTCAAGAATGTTCAGCTAAAATTTTAGCTCTTTCTATTGAAAAAGTTTTGAATTTATATCAATATTATAAGTACATAGTTGATCAAGCTATAATTTCATGATTTATACAATATAACGTCTGTCTAGGTAACACTATTGATAATTATGATTGTAGTTCAAAAGAAAATGGACTGAAACATACTATTCCAAGGTTGAGCACAATGTCCTTGCAAAATGTCTTGTTCGCTTTCCCTACATTCTTTTTAGTTAGATATCCTTAGTTTCTCGTCGCATTTGTGTTCCGCGCCCGATAAAAGCACTTCACTTTCGCCCGGGTGATTTTGAAATCGCAAGGCCCGACTTTTCACTCTAATTCCATAACATCGTGTCCGGTGACCAGTGTATTTCGAAAATCGGGAAGAATCCTTCGTGTGAAAGTTTTCTTCGTTCCTGAATGGTCACGGTACCGTGGTAGTTCGTCGTAGTTTATTCTCCAAAATAATCACATACGTAATTCTATGAATGTTACTGCAGTATCATACAAATTGATAAATTTGTATTCTCCAGCGTTTGCATGTAACTGCGTGCCATAAATGGGTCGGAGCGAAAAGAAATATGGCGCAAAAAATTTAGGTGAAGTGGTACTTTACCATGTCTGTTGAGGAGACACTGTATTTTTATAAACAATGTATACATCAGTAATTATATATTTACTAAATTTGGTACGTACTTATATTTCATAATAAAATTATAAAAAGTTATTCTAAACATAGTACATCCATAATAACAATAACTGTATTACATTAAAAAATATATATAATTAATGTCCAATTTTCGTGATCAATCGCTTCATAATTCTATTGATAATGAAAAATAAGCAACGACGTTCTTTAGTAGAAACAAATTTATTTATAACAATTTATTGATACAAGTATATTTGGAGCAGCTTTTTATAGTATTAATATGAAGAATTTCTTAAAATTTCACAATTTTCTAAGGATATTTTATTTTTGGGAAATAAGGAATTTGGATATGTCAGGAATCTGGGATATGTTATGAAACTAGAGAAATATATGGATGCAATTTAAAATTCTAGGGACGTAGAAATATAAGGATCCAGGTAGAAATGCAGACATGTGGGGAATTTAGGGATGTAGGGTTGTAGGAAGTTAGGAATTTAGGGATGTAGGGACGTGTGGAGTTAGGAATTTAGGGATGGTGGGATGTGTGGAGTTAGGAATTTAGAGATGTAGGGACGTGTGGAGTTAGGAATTTAAGGATGTAGGGATGTGTGGAGTTAGGAATTTAAGGATGTAGGGACATGTGGAGTTAGGAATTTTGGGATGTAGGGACGTGTGGAGTTAGGAATTTAGGGATGTAGGGACGTGTGGAGTTAGGAATTTAGAGATGTAGGGACGTGTGGAGTTAGGAATTTAAGGATGTAGGGACGTGTGGAATTAGGAATTTTGGGATGTAGGGACGTGTGGAGTTAGGAATTTAGGGATGTAGGGACGTGTGGAGTTAGGAATTTAGGGATGTAGGAATGTGTGGAGTTAGGAATTTAGGAATGTAGGGACGTGTGAAGTTAGGAATTTAGGGATGTAGGGATGTGTGGAATTAGGAGTCTAGAAATACAGTGATTTAATGATTTAGGAATTCAGAAATATAGGGATGTAGAGAGTTAGAAATTTAAAAATATAGGAATTTGGGAACTTAGAAATTTAAGAATATAGAAATATAAAGATTTAGAGATCCACAAATCCCTAATTATTTCAACGCACCATCCACATTTCAGTCACCACTCATCTTCTCTATACAACCACTCCTCCTTAATCAAATCCGCCGCCTTCTCAGCGATCATAATCGTCGGCGCATTCGTGTTCCCCCTAACGATCTTCGGCATCACGGAAGCATCCACCACCCTAAGCCCATGCACCCCATACACCCTCAGCCTCGGATCCACCACAGCCTCAGTATCCCACATAGGCCCCATCTTGCAAGTTCCAACCGGGTGAAAAATGGTCGCCGTATACTCCATCATCACGCACTTCCAATACCGCCTGCTATCGAAACCCAGATGCCTACAAGCCGGCACAGGTGTATCCACAAAGCTAAGTCCATGCTCCATGAAGGATTTCGTGCGAAACAGTTTCTGGGCCGCCCGTATGCCCTCCACCATGGCGTCCGCATCGGGTTGAGCAGTGAAATACCTAGGATAAATAAGCGGTGGACCCCATAGAGGGTCCGTGTCGTTCAGCACCAAATATCCTCTGCTCTTAGGAGACAGCAGGATGGGTCTAATATTTATGGCATCGTAATAAGCCAGAGGTTCGACCGCAGTTTCCCCAAACTCCGCAGGGTCCTTCAGGAAGTCCATTTTATTGCTGGCATCGAATGCGTACTGGATGTCTGGCAGATGCTCGTGCTCGAAAATAGTCTTCAGAAATACCCCGCAGGTTAAGGTCCCAGTGGCGGACAACGGACCATGATGAGTGTCCAAATAGTAGAACACGTCCTGCTTCTTCTCCTCGTTATCTTTGGTGGTCATCGTCGCATTTAACGCGATTACTAAACCATCCATTGTCACGTGGTCCTGCAGGTTCCTGCCCACAGGTAGATCGCTGACCACGTGGATCCCGTGCCTTTTTAACTCCTCCGTGGGTCCTATGCCCGACAGCATCAAGATTTTAGGCGAATTGATTGCCCCCGCCGATAAAATCACCTCCTTCCTTGCCGAGACCCGCTCGCTGAATCCTGTCACCGTCGAAGTGTACTCCACTCCCGTTACTCGTTTGGTTACGCTGTCTGTCAGGAGTCTCGTGACGTGGGACTGCGTTTGAACGGTTAGGTTCTTTCGCTTGCGTCGAATAGGTCTGATGAAAGCACTGTTCGTGCTCTGACGTGTGCCGTGGAGAGAAGTCATTTGCAGTCTCATCACACCTAGTTGCTGGTCCGTGTTGGCATCCACAGGAACCAGACCCAGTTCCTGCCACGCGCTTAACAAGATGTCGGTGTTTGGGTCGCTGTAGGGAAATCGCTCTACTGTCTGGTAGCCGCCTTGGTTGTGGTAGTAGGGGTTCTCTTTCACGATCTGGAATATTTAGAACAAATTTTAAGATTTGGAAGTTTGGGGTTTTGAGAATGTGGGAATTTGAGTTATTTTATTTGAAAAGGTAGATGTTTAGGAATGGAGTTTGGGATTTTGGATAGAAAAACTTGATATTTTGAGACTTGCGAGATTTAGAAATATTGTAAATTCAAAAGGTTTGAGATTTGCAAATTTGAAACCACAAAAATTTGAAAATTTTTAGTTTTGTAATATGAAAATTTGATGGTATATGATGAATTTGATAGTTCGGAAACTTAGCAGTTTAGAAATATGAGAATCCAAAATTTGATAATTTGCAATTCAAAGATTATTGAAAAATTAGCCTATAATTTGATGCTACTCTAAAAAAAATTAATCATCACTTCTTACTTAATCACCTAATTGTTAATAAATTTAGAAAATTACCTCAGGGTCCTCGTTATTTTCCGACTTAAGAAAATACGGCAAAACTTCCTCGTAACTCCATCCATGATTGCCTTGTTCAGCCCATTCATCGTAATCTCTAGGATTGCCCCGTATATAAATCATATAATTGATTGTACTGGAACCACCCAATACCTATAAAAATTATTAATTATTTTTAATAATAAAAACGAGCTTATATTACTACAGGAGCTAATTCTCAAGCATATTTCTGTTTGTACTAGATTTAGTTTTCGAAGCGTACTTTTCCCCTTGCCCATGCACAGCTTCTACCCCTTCTCGATCGACAAGAGTGTTGTTCTGGCTGTGTACGATACATCCAATCGATATTGCTAGCTTGCAACATAGAGGCGAATGCTGGAACATCAGCTGCCAGTGGTTCTTCTATACCAGCTTCCAATAAAAGCACCTAAAAATTGATAAATAACTTGATAGAATTCAGTGTTCCATTTCTTTAATGTACAGCGTGTAGCTAAAACTACGGTGTAGTTGGAAAGCTGTTCAAACTGAATAATAAGTATCGCTGATTGAAATTCAAATTTTAGTTGTTTTGTGTATGTATCGTTGCTGTGTGGCGTGTGACGATAGAATGTGTGATCATTTGAACTGGGGCGATGTAACGGGTGGTTGTATGACGCGTGGCGATATAGCGCGTGATAATTCAACGCGTTGCGGTACAATGCATAGTAATACGATGCGTGATGATACAACGCGCGATAATTCGACACGTGATGATACCTATACACTTGATATGTAGCGCGTGGGAGAATGATGCTTGGCAATATAGCGCGTGGTGATACAACGCGTGGGAATTCGGCGCTTAGCAATACAATGCGTAGCTATACGACGCGTGATGATACAATGCGTAGTGATATTATGCGTGGTTCATATAACGCGTGGTAGTACAACATGTGGCAATACAACGCGTGGCGATACAACGCGTGGAAATTCGGCGTATAGCAATACAACACGTAGCTGTACGACGCGTGATGATACAATGCGTGGCTCATGTAACGCGTGGTAGTATAACACATGGCAATGCAACGCGTGGCGATATAACGCGTGGAAATTCAGCACGTTACAATAGAACGCGTCGTAATTCGACACGTGGTGATATCACGCGTGGCTCATATAACAGGTGGTAGTACAACATGTGGCAATATAACGCGTGGCGATATAACGCGTGTATTTTGAATTAATAGGCAGATAATTAAGTAGAACATGTAGAACACCGTGTATACTGATTTTATCGTTGTCAACACGGAATAATCCAATAAATGAATTTGCAGTATTGTACGTTTGAAAGCGTGTTTAATCGCCGTGAAGCCACAAAATACATAGTCGCAACATAATCAACGACAATCTTCTGTTCTGTGACCCGTTTCAGGGAAGCCCTGACTTTTCACCGAAGGATTATATATATTTTTTTACCTTATCGCGAATTTTAAATGTTTGTGTTAATTAATTTTGCTTGAAATATTAATATTAAATGAAATATTGTCATTTAGTTATTCATGTTTCATTTACAGCATTAATATTTTTATGTCATTTACTTATTCATATTTCATTTGAAGCATTAACATTTTTATATATTGAGATATTTAATATTTTAATAGTAATATTGTTGTATATATTAATACGATATTACTGTATTTATTTTTTGAAATTGAACGCTTGAAATTGATATTGAAACGTTAGACTTGTTACTGTCCAAAGTGTTACTGTTTGCAACCTGAAACAGTAGCATTGTGGAAATATTAGTCATCTGTCCATAATTTACTATGCCAAACCAGTGAAACTTTGTTTTTGATCCCATTTCCATGCGTCGTAAAACACATTCCTACCAAACCATAATTTTTACTGCTTATCGGAATGTCTTTCCATTCTCCTTTCCGGTGTAAGTTTATGATACTTGTTTACCAAGAAAAACATTCCAAACTTCTAATTAAAATTCTGCTTTCAATAATGAACAAATTTGTTAGCAAGAACTATCATTGTTTAAATAGAACTGTTAAAACGAAATCTTTTATTGAAAATAATTTTGGAAATTCAAATAATTTATCAAGAATACGTATTAATAACATGTAAAGAAAATTCCAATCGATCGAATTTTTGCAAAAATAAATTATATTGTATTCTTATTATCACTTATTTAAATCAAGTGAATCTAATTTTGTATCAACCTCTAATAATTAAGAAACTATTTGTTTTAAATTTTCTCTGTATTGCTTATATTGATTTTTGAAGTATTTACTTTAGTTTTGCAATATTGAAAAGTTGAAAAAGGAAGACATATTAAAATTACTTCATACAATATATTTTAAGTGTATATATTACAGAAACATTTATTATAAATAACTTATAAAGAAATGACGAACTATGTATCACAAGAAAAAGATAAATGTGTTACAGAGAAATGACAAAATATTGCAAATAAGTTACTAGTGAAGGTGTAAGTTTGAACCATTCTTTGCGACCGCCATACTTGCACACTCCGCGCATGCGCATTTCGAAATACCACGTCGTATCCCCACCCCCTTTTCATATGGCTTGGATATTTAAATTGACTGTCCTCTGTCTCTCTCTAAAAAGTAGTTTCCCTGTCAAGTGTCGCCTCTTGTATCCCTTCTCTTTACAACTATTCTCAAATCAAGTTTATAAATCCTTTCAACGCTGTTTGCTCAAGTGTTAAAATACACTACCACTAAAAACTGCGACATTATCGAATTTATCATTGCGTTAGAGGAAAGAAATCCGGGAAAATGAAATAATCAATTACCTTCCAATGTTTTACTTCGCTCAATCTGTTAGCAAGAACGCATCCTGCAGATCCACCTCCTATTATAATAAAATCGTACTCTTTTTTCATTGCTTTTGATGCGCGCGGAAATTTGATCGAACTCCTCGTTCCCATCGTTTGCATTGGATCTTTATTACCATAATTATTGAAGTAATTAATTTGTTTCAGGTAATTGGGATTATGTAACGCTCTTCTGGTGAGTCTTTTAACTAGTTCGTCGTATTCCTTGTCTATATATCGCCGGTCTTCGTTTGGATATCCCAGTTTATCAAATCTTGACGAACGCGGGAAAATTTTGGTATTTTGATGTAGTATTCTTTGAGGTTTGGTATAGTCTGCAAGTATATATCAATTTAAAGTATTTGTGGGTTGAAATAATATTAATTGAAAATATGTAAAATTACAGTAACAGTAATATTAATAAATTGTATTGATTGATACTGATAATAATATTGGTAATAAATTATATTCTTTAAACGTATCTATCAATAAATTAATATTAACTGAAATATGTATACAGGGTATTTCACAACTAGTGAAACGTTGTATTCCCTGACTTTTCTTTTTCTTTTCTAAATAGTTCAAGTATGAAGTAACCTTGATGGGTGTGCTTTTTATTATAGAAAGTGGGATTCTGCAAATCTTGTTTGAGATTTTTTAATTTTTTAATTTTAAGATGTTATTTATACACGTTATGCATGTAAAGTATTCGTGTAGTAATATGTAATATAACGCTATGCATGTAAAGTATTCGTGTAGTAATATTTAATATAATAACATTATATTAGTAGAGATACATATGCATGTGCATTACATATAACATATATTATATTACATATTACATATGTTACATTATAACGTCATACCACAACACTATATGTAATACATATTACATATGCAATATAATAACACATACAATAATGTATACAACATATACAGGGTGTCTCACAACTAGTGTAGGTCCCTGAAATGGGAGGTAT